AAGGAAAGGAAAGGAAAGGGAGGAAACTATTTTAAGTTACAATAAATAATATTTCTATCATAGTTTTATTTTAATTCTAAGGAAAGACGAAAAAGAAATTAACGGAATGCGAAAAAAAACAAATATTTTTGTACAAAAAATCACTTATTATTAATAACTGTTAATCTGTTTACTGTTAATCTATCGTAGTTTTTATATTGGCTACTTTTGTTTGGGCCCCAAAAAACTACCTCACAGAAGAGCTCTATTTGGGGATAATGCTTTCAAAATCCTGCTAGATATAAAAAGGTCAAAACTCTTGTGTCGTTCAGTTATCACTATTATCATTTTACATTGATCCAGTCGAAGACACATTCCTAAAGTTCTAGGTCCACGAAGGACGTCGGAAGATAGACTTACTTTTACAATTAAAGTTTGTCAGAACAAGTCCTTTTTACTCGTGTGTTCCAACAACAACGACTCCTCAGCAGCATCCAGCACTGTTGCAGTATTGATGTTAAGGAGTAATTAACTACGGCTTAATATATTTGCTGTTTTCTCATGTAAACTGTGAACATCTATGGTTTAAGGCTTTTGCATTGAAAATTAAAAGAAAATATTTATTTTTTAAGTCACAGTTCAGATTATGTAATTAATCAAAGGACTCTTATATTGTGATGAAATATTTAGATCTAACCTCAAAAAGCAAATAAAAACTCTTAAGATCACCACAAGCTTCTTTTGATTTCTTCATGTATATAATACTTGGGTGATTTTATCCAAGTTTTCAAGGGTTATTGCTTGGGAAATTCTAACATCCTCCGAATGAAGCGTTTTCTATTCACATGGAAAACAAAAAATGGGAATGAAATTAGCCTCAGTCAGAGTAACGGTAGGCCATTTCGTTTCTGGAGAAAATAAAGCATTAACCATGTAAGTTTTCAGCCAAAAATACAGTTGGTGTGGCATCCTTGAAAAGTGAGTCTAAGTGTACTTTAATAGCCTTGAAAGTTTGCTCTATGAAGGTTTAAACAGCTCAATTTCCACAAAGAACTGAGATTAGTCTGCTAAAATTTAAGGAAAAACGACAGAAATCGTCAGACATTAATATTGAATTCCAGTGAGACCAAAGTAAAGGGATGTCTACCGAAGAACGGACTCGGGGTCTGGGACGGGAGACATGCGAGGACGAGCAATGCAATTAGCAGCATGCGCGAGGGGCCTTGTCCTCCCACTCGTTAAAATTTCTAGTTTCTATTTGCCCCGGAGCCCTCACACGTCTTTTGAGTTCCTCCTGCTTATGTAAAAGGAAGCAGAAAACCTTTAGTACCGGTGCCTGGGCCGAGATCTGTTCTTGTTGTTGCCCCTGCAGGGATTTCGCTCAGAAGGCGAAATCCCGAGGAGGCACTCTAGTAACTCGCGTGAATATTAAGGAAAGTACTTACAGTTGAAATATACAGTCATACAGTCAATACAGAAAAAATCTCGATTTGCTTGAACAGGGGCCGCGAGGAATCGGTAGGTAATGATGTCGTTTCTATTGTTTCCGCCCGCAAGTACCTAATGGTTAGGATGACGCAAAACACAAAAAAATCCCGAAGGGACCACTTACAATAGGTAGATTTTGTGACATTGATTGTGCAGTCATACTTCGATACTCTTCTGCATTATGTGTTATCAGTGACATTCTGCGGAGCAGTTGTTATGAAAGTTATGGACCAAAAGACACTCGTTAAGCGCAGATGAAGTTATAAGGTGCGTATAACAATGTATATTTTAACACCAAGTGATTTTTTGCCAGACACGAGTTCAAAAATCGTTGATTGGAAACCTTGCCAGACACTCTTTCTCTTTCTTTGACCGGAATAAGACGCGGCCCCAAACAAGAAAGACGAGAACGATGGACGATTACAGAAATTCGCCAATCCTCAAATTCTGAGCTGACTTATTCCCTGCACACAGATGTCCTTCCGCTATAAAGTTTAAAATAAGACTAGAATGCGCGAGCGTGATTTGATCAAACGTCCTTTTAATTTCTAAGCCTTACTTTCCGGCAAATAAAATGAACTAATTGTAAAAAGTGAAGTAGAAATAGCGAAAATTCAACTTCTAATTAAACATTTTCTTGTGGTTTAGAATAAACTATTCTCGAGACTGAGAATGTTTTGTTCAAAGCTGTGTAAATCGAACCGAAACTGTGCATGGAACTTTGCGTTTCCTGAATTTATCTCACCTGTTGCATGGAATATGTGTGAACATCTTCATTATGAAATCGGAAGAAATCGGTATATTTCAAAGAGCTGCACAACGAGCAAGAATTCTATTGCCCGACAATACACAGAGCTAGCAGAGCGGGGGCAGCTGTAGTGTCAACTATTACTAGTTATACTTGTCTGATGGTTGACACAATAGTTATTTTGGGTACATTTACTTTATAATCGATTTATAACCTAATTCTGGATCTAAACTGTATATCCAGTTTACTGACAAACAGGTTTAAGGAAAGAGTCTGATTAGAAGCATTGTTTTTTGTTATGTTCCACCCTTTTTCTTTAATATCTAGCCAAAACTTTATTCAATCAAAAAATGACTCCATTAAGTCGCGACCGGAGTCCTTGATTCAATATTTTTTTTGAGAATTTTTAGATGATTTTTTGAATGTTTTTAATGTATAGAAATTGGAGGGGCATGTTTAAAACTTTGGAAAAATTGGAAAATATTGGGTTTGGGGTTTGTTAAAAATTGAAATATGAGGTGAATAATTAGTAGACAATTACCAGATAGTCCAACACCATAACAACAAGGTACCTCATTGTCGAACTAATTTTCGAAAATTCTCAATTCGGTTTCATGGTCGACCTAAGGTTTTCAACTCGTTTTAAAAGTCGTGAAATTCAAAGCAGTGAAAGTGTCAGTTTTTTTGGCAAAAGACTTTAAAAATTCCTTCCTTAGCTTTCTTTCTTAGTCAGATATACTCTTTTTTGAGACACGTAGCTTTTCTTTTTTCTTTTTCTTTTCTTTTCTTTACTTTTAAAAATTACCCATTTTTCGTTCAGTACTTTTAACTCACATATACCTATAGTTCTAGGACGCCTAAGTATAAGCCCTCGGCTTCTGTATAGGCTTCCTTGTCATTACCCTTTTAAACATTTAATTTTGTTAATCATATAGTTAGAATAGCGTATATTATCTTTAATGTATTATTTATAAATTTCTTGTATATTTTTGTTGTATTCATATGTAGCGAATGGCAAAATAAATGGAGTTTTTCTTTCTTCGTGAATTTTTTCCCGCGCTCTACTTTCTGATGAACGCTTGGAACAAACTAGTAAACTAACGGATTCGCCGCCGAACTGGCGACCAAAAGAACGATGACTACTAGTGCAACATTGTCAGACACATCTAAAAAAGATGATTCTCAGGATTAGAGGTTGTGTGAGGGCTCTGTGGTGATGTGTGAGTGGTTTCGTAAAAACAAGATGATCTTGAACACTGAAAAATGCAAGGCGCTGGTTCTGTCGCGAAAATCCAATGTCAAGCTATCACTGTTTTCTGAAGGTGTTGCATTACCAATACTTGGAACAGCAGACCTATTTGGGCTAACATTGGACAATTCTCTGAATTTTGGAAAACACATTACGAAAATTAGCAAGAAAGTTGGAAAGCAACAAGACGTTCTTTGTAGACTAAAGAATATATTATCGTTTGGGACCAATCTCTTCCTTTATAATTCGTTCATAATGTCTCATTTTCATTACTGTTCCTCCATATAGCATCCCTGTTTAAAGTCTGATAGTAAAAAACTGGATAGGTTGCATGAATGAGCACTTCGTTACTAGTACAGTGACGAGTCTTCAGAAACTAGCACTCTTTTTGAACGTATTGGTTACAGCCTTGTGGATCGACGTATCCAGAACTTGTTAATTATTGTATTTAAGACAGTTAACAATTATCCACCTTAATATCTGAGGGGCCCATTTTGGTTAAGAGACAACATCAAAAACCTGAGAGGGGTTAACAACCTGCAAGTACCGAAACCTATTACGACTCGTTATGGCAAGAACTCACTAAAGTACTTGGCGTCCATCGACTTGGAACAAGATTTCTGATACCTTAAGATCCCTAAGCACATTGTCAGTTTTTAAAAAAGCAGTCCGACAGCTAAGGTTCTAGCTAATTCTATAAAATATCTATGTTTTATTAAGTAATTGCCATGGGCTTTTTATTGTAAATAGCTATGTCACGTAATTTTAGACTTTATACTGTAAATGAGTTTTTGGATTTCCTTTCTTTCTCTATTATTTTATTTATTTGTTTTGTTGTCTTTTTTTTTCCTCGGCTCATAAGCATACTTTTTGCTAGAGGTCTAACCAACCTCATCAAACCCGAGATTAAATAAAGCTTCAGTCATTCATTCATTCATTCATTCATTCATTACTACATTATTGCATGCCAAGAAAAACACCACTATAGCAATTATGAAGCGTGCTGAGTTGTGTTTATGTCTTCCTGGGGGAGCTGCCGGTTGTTAACGCGCCAGTTTAAAGTTCCTTCCTAAGAGACTCCATTGCAGAATTCTGGAGTGATTGCTTGCGAACTACGGCCAGAATACGGACAACAGCATAGACAAGCAGAGCTGAAAACAATATGTCAAAACCTGAGACACCATGCAGTTAGACGCAGTACTTTATTGGTTTCTGGTTCACTCTTCAGTTGCAAATCTCTGCATCTTAACGTGGGATCGTTACGCAGCAATTCTTCATCCTCTTAGATACAACACTTTCATCATCTTGAGACGCCCTGGAAGGGTCATCTTGTTGGCATGGCTGATTCCATTGTTGATATGATAATCGCTGTACCTGGTTTTGGGAATGTTCGTTGCAAACTCAGACACTGTTTTAAAAGTGCTGCGTCAAACTGGTGTCTCAGGTTTTGACATACTGTGCTCCACTCTGTTTGTCTAATATGCTGTTGTCCGTATTTTGGCCGTAATTCGCGCGCAATCACTCCAGAAATCTGCTATGGAGTCTCTCAGAAAGGAACTGCAAAACTTCACTCAAGCTGGCTTCAATGAAGACAGCAGCTTCCAGACGTCCTGGTAGACGCAAACACAGCTCAGCACGATTCATAATTGCTATAGTGGTGTCTTTCTTGGCATGTCATCTTGTAAAAAACTATCCGATCGTGAGAATCATGTTTGTCTCAGACAGGGGTGTCTGATAATGTTGCACTGCTCGTTACCATTCTCTTAGTCGCCAATTCGGCGGCGAATCCTTTGGTTTACGCGTTTTTGAAACGAGACATAAAAGAGAACTCACGCGGCTTATCTAAGGGGCAATGAGAAGAGGAAGTATTAAAACATAACTGTGAGCAACCGTGGTACCAGGCTAACTGCTAACAGTTTTTTTTTGTCATGCACAATTAAAACGGCTACCTCGGGGACAGAAGAAAGTGAAGCCATTATAGAGAGGTGTTCGTTGTAGAGAAGTTTAAACATAGTCAGTGTATAAAATGTCCGCCCAAAAAAGTGGCCGCTGCAGAGAGGTATTTGTAGCCATTTGAGAGGTGGCCACATATGATCAACCTGATTTCTTTTCTACAAAGTCCTCATCGCTACATGCCATTATGGGAGCCCTCTCAATCCGGCTTT